TTGGATCCCATACGGCCCCTCATGGTCCTACACGGCCCCATACTGCCCCCACATGGCCCATACAGCCCCATATGGATCCCATACACAGCCCCCACCATACAGCCCTATACAGCCCCATACAGCCCTATACGCCCGCTCGCCCCCGCCCGACCCCGCAGTCTCCCCGCAGACCTTCGAGCAGCGCCGCTACCAGCAGTACACGTGCTACACCGTCTTCTTCATCAGCATCGAGATGTGCCAGATCGCCGACGTCCTCATCCGCAAAACCCGGCGCCTCTCCCTGCTGCAGCAGGGCCTCTTCCGGTGCCTACGGGGGGGCTACGGGGACCCCCCCGGCACCCATGGGTGCTATAGGGGCCCCGTTTTACACCCACCCCCCGTGTCCCGGCAGGAACCACATCCTGGTGATCGCCATCGTCTTCCAGGTGTCCATCGGCTGCTTCCTCTGCTACTGCCCCGGGATGCCCAACATCTTCAACTTCATGCCCATCCGGTGGGCCCCCCTGTCCCCCCCCCCGTCCCAAAAAAATACCAAACAGGCCCCCCCTGAGCGCCCCCTCCCCGCAGGTTCCAGTGGTGGTTCGTGCCCATGCCCTTCGGCCTCCTCATCCTCATCTACGACGAGATCCGCAAGCTGGGAGTGCGGCGGCACCCAGGGAGTCAGTCCCCCCCACCCCCAGGGGTTCTATGCCCCCCCCAGGGGTTCTGGACCCCCCCCTTGGGGTCCCAGGACCCCCCCCCTCACCCCCTTTTTACCCCCCAGGCTGGTGGGACCGCGAGCTCTACTACTGAGGCTGCTGCCCTGCAAGGGGAATGGGGGGGGGGTCTCTGCCCCCACCTCCTCCCCCCCAGGACACTCAGAACCCCCCCCACACACCAGGACCCAGGACCCCCCCCAGGGACAGCGGGACCCACCCCAGGACTCCAGGACCCCCCCCACCAGGACATCAGGACCCCCCCCCCCCCAAAAAACCTGGGACCTCCCCCCAAAAAAATGTACCCCCCCCCCCAATTGTGACAATAAAGGAGTCGGGGACACCGCGGGCTTTATTCAGGGGGGGGGCAGGAGGGGCACCAGCAGCCGCAGCGCCCCCAGCCCCAGCGCCGCTGCCCCCACGCCCGCACCCCCAGCGCCCCCAGGGCCCCAGCGCCAGCGCCTGCCCCACCCACCTGTGGGAAAAAAGGGGCGGGGCCTCAGTGGGGCACGCCCCCTCCGGGGGGGCAAGGCCCCGCCCATCCCCACTGAGGCCCCTCCCAGAGTCAACTTGGAAGCCACACCCCCTCCCTCAAGCCCCGCCCCCTTCCCGAGCCCCGCCCCAGGACCCCTCCCCTCTGGAGACAAGCCCCGCCCACTTCCAAGGGACCGCCCACCCCAGCATAAGCCCCACCCACACCCAAATAAGCCCCGCCCACCCCAGAAGCCCCGCCCACCCCTTCAGCCCCTCCCCGTCTCTCCCCGGGTCCTGCCCCCCTTGTAGCCCCTCCCCCTCGTGGCACCGCCCCCTTGTGGCCCCTCCCCTTTTAGCCCCCCCATTGTGGCCCCGCCCATCCCAGGAAGCCCCACCCGTTTCTCCCCATGTCCTGCCCCCTTGTAGCCCCTCCCCCTTGTAGCCCCTCCCCCTTGTAGCCCCTCCCCTTGTAGCCCCTCCCCCCTGTAGCCCCTCCCCCCTTGTAGCCCCTCCCCCCTTGTAGCCCCTCCCCCTTGTAGCCCCTCCCCCTTTGTAGCCCCTCCCACCCGGTGAGGAAGCCCTCGTAGGCGGCGGCCACCAGGAGCCCCCCCAGGGGCAGGCGCAGGCGGGGGGGGAGGTCGTGGCGCCCCGAGGCCCAGAGCAGCGCCGCCGCTGCCACGTGGCGCACCTGGGGGGGGGCAACGTCACTGGGGGGGGCAATAAAACCCCCCAGGGGCAATAACAACCCCCCCTAGGAGCAATAACGCCCCCCCCCCCCCAAAAGGCAGTAACACCCCCGGGGGCAATAACCCACCCCCAAAGAGCAATATCCACCCCGCTTAAGGAAAACAGCCCCCCCCAAGGACAACAGCCCCCCCATAAAGGCAATAACCCCCCCCAGGGAACACTTCCCCCCACACACACTTTGCCCTCCCCATTTGCCCCTTCCTGGGGCAGATCCCCCGCAATGAAAGGGGATTCCTGCCCCCCCACCCAAAAAATAACCCCCCCCTTTACCAGGCTGATGTTGGAGTCCAGCCCCATCTGCACGTGGCGCCAGTCGAACTCGATGCCGCGCGCCCCCACCCACAGCGGGACGCAGCTGGGGGGGGGCAAAAACCTCAAAAACCCAAAAACTGCCCAACCCCCCCAATCCCCTATAGAACCCCCCACTTCTCCTGAATCCATCACAGATCCCCCTGTAGGGGTCCCCAGGTCCCTATAGGTGACCCCCACCCCCTCCAAAAGGCCCTATATTGTCCTACGGGCGCCTATAGGCTCTTACACCCACCCTATAGGCACCAAAATCCCCTATAGACCCCCCCCAGCCCTCCAACCCTCCCTATAGCCCCCACCCCCCTCCTGTAAGACCCCCACACCCCCCTCCAACCCGACCCATCCCTATAGCCCCCCATAGGGTCCCATACACCCCCCCGAGCCCTATAGATGTCCATACGTCCCCGTAGCCCCCCCCCAGACCCCCCCCCACGTACCGGGAGGTGAGCAGCTCGGCCGTGGCCCAGCCCATGGCGGCCACCAGGATGCGGTGCTCCCCCTTCCCCGCGCCCCTGCCCAGCGCCAGCTGCAGCCCCCCCAGGTCGGCCACATCCACCGTGGCCTTCAGGAACTCCTGGAGGGGGGGGGACACCCAAAATATAGCGTATGGGGGGGCACAGCGCCCCTATAGCCCCCCCTCCCCCCAGACTTACCCCCACCAGGTCGTAGCCGCCCGAGGGACCCTCCCAGGTGGGGAAGAAAGTGGCCAGGAACAGCATCTGGGGGGGAAGGGGGAAAAGGGGGGGTTGGGGGGGTCCCAAAATTCGGGGGGGGTCCCCCAAGTCCCCAGGGACCCCCCCAGGGACCCCCACCCAAGGGTGCCGGGCTCACCTTCCCCAGCTGCACCAGCAGGTAGGTGGCCCCCGCCTGCACCAGCGCCAGAAGGCGCTGTACTCCGAGCTGCAGGACCAGTAAATCCCAGTAAATCCCAGTACGTCCCAGTGCTCCCCGGTAACAGCCCCCCGCCAGCCCTCCCAGGAGCCCCCCCAGGATGCCCAGTTCCCCCCAGCGCCCTCACTTTCCCTCTCCGGTGCATCCCAGTTCAGCCGTCTGCCCCTCCCTGTGTAGCCCAGCGTCCCCAGTTTGCCCCAGTCTCCTCCCAGTATGCTCCAGTCCTACACACCCCTACTCGCACTTCCCAGTTCCCCCTCCCAGGGCACCCCAACCTTCCCCAGTGCCCCCCAGTCCCCTCTAATCCCCCCTCCAATCCCTCCCAGTACAACCCAGTGTCCCCCAGTCCCTCCCCACTCCCTCTCAACTGCCTCCCATATGCCCCAGTCCCTCCTGCTCCTTCCTCCCAGTACAACCCAGTCCCTCCCAGCCCCTTCTCAGTCCCTCCCAGGCCTTCCCCAGTCCATTCCACCCCCCCTCAGTAAGGCCCAGAGCCCCCCAGTCCCCCCCAGTGCCCCCCAGTCCCTTCCCAGTGCCTCCCAGTCCTCTCCCAATAAGGCCGAGCGCCCTCCAGTCCCCTCCTAGTAAGCCCAGTGCCCCCCAAGCCTTCCCCAGTCCCTCCCAGCGCCCCCAGTCCCCTCCCAGTGCCCCTAAGCCCCCCAGTCCTCCCTCCCAGTCCAGGCCCCAGTCCCTCCCAGTGCCCCCCAGTCCCCTCCCAGTGCCCCTAAGCCCCCCAGTTCCCTCCCATCCCCCAGTCCCTCCCAGTGCCCCCTAAGCCTTCCCCAGTCCCTCCCACTCCCTTCCAGCGCCCCCCAGTCCCCTCCCAGTCAGGCCCAGTCCCTCCCAGCGCCGCCCAGTCCCCCACGCACAGCCCGCTGCACTTGTAGGTGATGAAGTATGGGCAGTAGGCCAGGGCGAAGCAGTTCCCGAAGTGGAACAGGGTCATGGCGCCGGGCACGCGCCGGGCACCGCCACCGGCCGCGGGGACGCGCACGGGGACGCGCCGCCCCCTCCCCCTCCCCCGCCCGCGCGGGGCACGGCGGGAAGGCCCCGCCCCCCCCCCGGGACTACAACTCCCAGCGTGCCCCGCCCCGCGCCGCCGCCACGCCCGCGGTGACGTCACGCGCCCCCCCACGCACGAGGCCACCCCCCGCAGTGAGGCCACGCCCCCAGCAAGTCGGTATCCCAGCAACGCGGCGCCACGCCTCTCCCGTGAAGCCACGCCCCCTCCTGCAAGGCCACGCCCCCTCCCAGCACCCCCCTCCGCAGGCCACGCCCCCCAGGCAGCACCAGCACCACGCAGGACACGGTCTCGGGTGGGAGCTTTATTGGGGGGGGGGCTGGGGACGGGATGGGGACACGGGGACACAGGGGGGTGCCCCAGTGACAGCGGGGACTCAACTGGGGGCATACTGGTGACACTGGGACACGATGCACGGGACACGATGGGGGCATACTGGTGACATTGGGGACACGACTGGGGGTCCCAGTGGCACTGGGGACACAACTGGGGGCATACTGGTGACACTGGGGACACGACCAGGGGGTCACGGTGACACCATCGGGGTGCCACATGACCCCACCAGGGGGATGCGGCGACACCGGGGCCACCGTGACACGAGTGGGGGGGGTGGGGACATGGGGACACGAGGGGGGTGTCCTGGGGACTGGGGGGGTCCTGGTGACGGCGGGACACGGTGACAGGGCACGGTGACGGGGACACGGTGACGGGGACACGGGACGGGGACGCTCAGATCTCCCGGGAGTAGATGTGGCTCAGCAGGTCGGCCACGCGGTTGCTGTACCCGTACTCGTTGTCATACCTGTGGGGGGGGGGGACACAAGGGACAACGTCACACACCTCGGGGGGGGGGACACAAACCCGGTGCCACCCCACCTCGGGGACACTCGGGGACGCACCACGCCACCAGCTTGACGAAGTTGTCGCTCAGGGCGATGCCGGCGGCGGCGTCGAAGATGGACGAGTGGCTGTCCCCCACGAAGTCCGACGACACCACCTGGGGACGGCGGCGTCACCCTCAGGGGGGTCCCCAACGTCCCCAAATTTCCGCCCCCCTTTGTCCCCAAACGCTGTCCCCAACCTGGTCCTCGGTGTAGCCCAGGATCCCGGCCAGCGGCCCGGCGGCCGCGCGCTTGACGGCGTCCTTGATGTCCCCGTAGGAGGGGGGGTGGCCAGGCGGCACGTCAGGTCCACCACCGAGACGTCGGCCACCGGCACGCGGAACGCCATCCCCGTCAGCCGCCTGGGGACACGGCGGGGACAAGGGGACACGGCGGGTGGCACCCGGCACCCGGAGTGACACCTCGGGGAGCTCCGGGGAACAGGGGCTGCACCCTTGGGACACCCTGGGGACATGGTGGCACCTCGGGACCACCCAAGGGACCCTGTGGACACCTTGGGGACACCCTGGGGACACCCCAGGGACCCTGTGACACCCTGGGGACACCCCGGTGACACCCCAAAGCCCCCCAGATGAGCACCCCGTGGCCGTCAGCCCCCCAGCAGCACCACGGCGGTGGTGGGGAGGTGGCCAGGAGGGGACAGGGGGGGACAAGGAGGGGACAGGGGGGTGATGGGGGGGATGGGGGGGGACAGGGGGGGAAGGGGGGACACGCACCCGTTGAGCTCGGGGATGACTTGCCCACGGCCTTGGCGGCGCCGGTGGCGGCGGGGATGATGTTCTGGTGGGCGCCGCGGCCGTCGCGCCACGCTTTGCCCGAGGGCCCGTCCACCGTCTTCTGGGTGGCCGTGT